CCAGGCACCGGGCCATCACGTCAAGGGCATCGTTGGGGTGGCCCGGGGTGGATATGTACAGCTGAGTGTCATCAGCGTACTGATGGAAATCCACCCCAAAGCCACGAATGATCTCCCCCAGCGGCTTCACATAAATATTGAACAGAAGTGGAGAGAGGACCGACCCCTGTGGGACCCCGCAAGTTAGGGGTCTTGGGGTTGACCTCTGTCCCCCTGCCAATACAGACTGCGTACGGTCGGTGAGGAAGGAGGAGAACCACCGCATCACGGTGCCCCCCACTCCCAGCCCACCTAAATGATATCCTAAATGATACTGCAGGGTATACCTAATGCAAAAATGTACCAGAGTTAAGATTTTTAGCAAATATTTGTATCTTTTTCTTTCTAATAATAGGTCTTATTATTGATGCCTTTGGCGAACTGAGAGATCAGCAAGAGCAGGTCAAAGAAGACATGGAGGTAAGATCCTGATTGTATTGAGTTAGTTTGTTTTCAGTAAATGAAAGAGAAAAACTTAGCGCTAAATTGTCAAGAAGACTAGATTCTTATTTTGCTAATATTTTTATTTGATTTCTAGACCAAATGCTTTATTTGTGGAATTGGTAATGATTATTTTGATACAACGCCACATGGTTTTGAAATGCATACTCTACAAGAGCACAATCTGGCCAACTACTTGTAAGTAAATGCATGTACTGCTTTATTAATACATATTTCTTTAGAAATTATTGTTAGCAATGTTAATAGGGTTGTCCAGGCTCATCAATACTAGAAATATCTATCCAGAAGTGAGTTCTGAGACTTACTCCAAAATCAATGTGTTGCACTCCTGTACTCCCAGACTCAGGGTTCTGCCAGGTTATGCATGGTATAGCGACCCCTTATAGCAGCTAATGTTGTAAGTTTCTCAAAATTCCACTGTGGGGGATGGGGTAGGGTAAGGAGTACACAATAGAGCTTATCATAGGGGAACCAATACTAAACCTTGAAACTATAACCAGGATCACTAAAGGAAAACAAACAAGCAAACCCAAACATAATACTTTTACCGTGTTTGCCCAAAAGTTAGACCCAGCCCAATAGTAAGCCCTACCTTGATGTTTGGGTGTGGGCCTAACATAAGCCCTACTCCAAAACTAAGCCCTAGTTTGGGGGCAAGGCAAGGTGGGGGGTAAAGCTGCCCCACGTGCCCTGCACCCGCTTACCTTACCGGTAGGATCACCACAGCCAGGCCTCCCACATCCCAACTGTTGCACTGCTACTTGACTTCTTCTGTGCCTGCTTGCCGCAACTTGTGGCTGGCCACCATGTGGCACATTGCGCCATTGGCGCTCCTCTCCGCAGGACGCTGCATGGTGCTTAGGGCTGCTTCTGTTGCTCGCACAGCACTTCGGGCCGCTTCCGCTGCTTGTGCAGCGCTTCAGGCCGCTTCTTTTGCTCGCGTGCTTCAGGCCACTTCTGTTGCTTGTGGCAGAAGGCCACATGGCACTTCAGGCCGTTTCTGCTGCGGAAATGGCCCAAAGAGCCACACAGCATCCTGCTGCGAGTTGCAGAAACGACACAAAGCACCATGCAGCATCCTGCTGGGAGGAGCGGCAATGGCGCAATGCACCACATGGCGTTTGGCTGTAAGTGGCAGCAAGCCGCCGCAGAAGTCAAGCAGTGGCGCGACAGGTGTTGGGGTTTGGGAAGCCTGGCTGTAGTGGTCCTAAGGTAAGACATTCTCCGAAATTAAGACCTAGTGCCTCTTTTGGAGGCAAAAAATATATAAGTCCGGGTCTTAATTTCGGGAAATGTGGTACATCATGCCTGATACATCAAGCTCTGGATATGGAGGGGCTCCAGAACAGGAGTGCTCTATCAGTCTTTAAACCAGCATCTTTCAAATTTGGCAGCTTTAAGATGCATGGAGTTCAACTCCCGGAATTCCCCAGACACTAATCAACATATGCAGTAACGCTCATTAACTTGATCGAAAAGGAGAGACATTATCTTTGGAAAGATGAACCACAGTATGAGCCATCAGAGGCTTTGGCAGCAGGAAAATTAATATTGCTCCAAGGCAAATTTTGCTTCAGAATTATTTGGTGTAGGGGCCTGTCATTTTACTTCCTTGAAATGTAGATGTAAAATACAAGGTATAGCTTTTTTTATTGTTCATGAAAGAAAAAAAACAATACAGAACCGGTCATCACCAAAATAAAATATTGTGAATAACTAAACAGATACTAGCATCCACAGCTTTGTATTAGTTATTTTCATTAATAGTTTTTGTACATTTATTTTTCTTCTAATGCTTTCTTGAGGAGGATGTCTACTTTTTTGGATTGGGAACTCAGAAGCAGAGACTTGTACAATTTTACATACACAAAACTCTTTTACAAATGTAAAATATTTCACCACTTTAATATCAACTTTTGACTATAAAATGAATCATAAAACATGTCTTTTTTAGCCTATAGTTTCACAATTGTTTAGATGGAAATAATTACTGTTTTCTTAAGAAGCAAGAACAGCATACCACCAAAACCAATCATGTATAGTTTCATATTCTTTTTTCAGGTTCTTTTTGATGTATCTTATTAATAAGGATGAAACTGAACACACTGGGCAGGTAAAGCATTAATTGAGTATGTAAATGAAAAGTAAGAAACATTTCAGAAAACATTCATAAAAAATAATCAACATTCTTTTAGAGATATATTAATACCATGTTATACAATTAAATAATTACCATTCATTTTTCCCCCTCCAAAATCAAATTATTGATCATTTTAATCTATAAACACACAACATCTAAATGTTTTAATGTTCTTCCATGGAAACTCATGTACTAAATATTGCAGTTCTTCATGCCTTCTTCTGAATATTTACTTTAGTGTATTATACCAATTGTTCAAGACCTGCTATTATAAGATTATTATTTTGTAAAAAAAAAA